CGTCGGTCGCTGCGACGCATCGGTTGCACGCGAGCAGGACTCAAGCGTTTCGCGGTTTAATAGCCAGCGGGACGAACGCGACCGCGTCCGCCGGCTCGATCGCGACGAACACCGCGGCGCCTAACGCCGTGACCAAACAGCCGGTCTCGTTTACCAAGGAACCGGCCAACAGCCTCGCCTCCAGGACTTACGATCCGGCCGGCTTGTCGATAATGTGCAATTTCTGCGGTCGATGTCGTTGCGAGTCTTGCCGGGAGCCGCCCCCGTTGCCCAGCAAGTGGCTGTGCGACAACAAGTGCTTCTGCTCCGCCGAGACGATTCTCGATTACGCTTCTTGCCTGTGCTGCGTGAAGGGACTGTTTTATCATTGCGTGGACGGGAACGGCGGTGGCGGCGGCGGCGGCGGCAGCGGCAGCGGTGGCGGTGGCGGCGGAATCGGCGAGGGAGCCGGTAGCTGCGCGGACGAGCCGTGCTCCTGCACGGGGAACAGAAGGGCCTCCAGGTGGGCCTGCCTCGGCGCGCTCACCCTCGTCATGCCTTGCTTATTGTGCTATTGGCCGTTCAAGGGCTGCGTCGCGTTGTGCGAGGTGTGTTACGCGCGGCACGCCGCCCAGGGCTGCAGATGTAACCCGAACACGATCGGAAACGCCGGGAACAGGCATCATCCGATCGCCAGCGATATCGGGGACTCGAGGGATCCGGAGAAGAGGTTGCTCGACCCGGTCACACCGGAACTCTAACGCAGGAAGCGACGTGCGTCGTTCGGTGCGCCACCGACGACTATCGAATCGTACACGTCGACGACCGTCGCGATTTGTTGTTCCGCCGCCAGCAGAGACGGACGTCAACGCTCTTATCGAGAGGGAGCGAGATGAAAAATTGCATTAAGTACAAGAGTTGCATTTAGGTCGAGAAAAGGAAAAATAAAAACCGATATCGAGAGAATTCTGACGAGTTTGTACATCTGACGTCGCGAATGTTTTATTTATTATTCTTCCATGTGCGCGCGAAAGTGCGAAGCGAGCGTGAGAGAGAGAGAGAGAGAGAGAGAGAAAGAGTGTATAAGAAACGTGTGGAAGAACGCGAGAATGGTGTAGTAGAATAGGATAAAAGAGAAAGGAAGGAAGAAGGATGCAGTGTGAAGATAGTCACAGGAGAGGAGGGAGAGACGGAACGAGGCCCTGACGGATTTAGAGAAGAAAGCGCAGTGAACGACGGTGAGGAAAGGGCGAGAAAGATGACAATGTACTACTACGCGAGCGTGCGTATTAATGCAGAGAGATATTACACTTACGTATAGATAGGTCTATACACGATAAAATATATAAATAGTACGCGCACACACAGAAAGTAACTGCGAGCGTGATCGAGAGAACGAATGAGCGAGAGAGAAGAAAGATAGGAGAGAAAGCGTGAAAGCAAATAGACGTACCATTAAAAGTATATTGAATGCGAGCACGTGTACGCGCGTGTACACGCGTTCCTTGCTGTTATTTCGTTCGAAGCGCGTGCAAGTTGCACGCGTCTCACGCCTAGATTATAGCTATGTATATTGTATATTACATTTGTATAAAGAAGAAATTTTTTCTATGGTTAATTTATTCGTGGCTACGCATTGGCCAACTTCACAGACATGGAGTTTTTCGTAGTAGAAACGCAGATAGAAAAGAAAAGAGTGGGGAAGGGGAGGGGTGGGTGGGGATGAAAGAGATGTTTGATCAGCATGTTTGAAGGCCGTTGAGAAGATTCAGAGGACGTAGTAATACTGGTACGATATCGACTCGATTATTTTTTTTCCGAAACCGTGGTTCCAGTCGCTTGTATCCCATGGTAAAAATAAAATTAAAAAATGAAAAAAAAAAAAAATAGAAAGAAAAACGGGCGTGCGAGGAATCAAGAAAAGAAGGAATAAATAATGGGAAGAAAGAAGGAAAGAAAGCGAGAGAGACGAAGAAAGAAAGCTCTGAAAAGAAGCATTGTCCGTTCCGAGCGTTTTCCTCCAGCTCTGTACACGATGTATACTACGCTATACTAGAGTTGTATCGAGCGGCTCTGGCGATTTGATATCTTCGAAAGAGGACATTAAAAAATCGCTCTAATTACTAATATTGTGAATATTTATTCCTTCTCTTTTGATTCCTCGTGAACCGTTTCCTCGACCATTTTTTACTATAGAAAAGAAAGATAATAATTTTATAAACCACTATTTTATTTTGGTTCACAAAACAGTACTAAATACTAAATTATTAGTGATAATATCAAGCAAAATAATATTAAGCAAAATAATACAATGGAAACATAATAGTTTCAATTTAATTTTAACC